GTATTAAAAGGCCATTATACGAGTAGTGGAAGTAACGCTGAGTCTTGACTATTTAAATTATGCCGGCGTCTCTTCCGTTTGCTTTACTTACGGCATTGCTTTTAGCAAGAGGCGTACGTGGGTGCAAGGGGACTTTCTATGATAAAACGAACCTGCAAGTCACGGTTCTTGACCGTGTTATGAAATTTTTTTGCTTAAAGTTAAAAAGGGGGCATATAGTGCGAAAAAGTCATTTACACAATTAGGCGGATGACTTCTTAATTATGAGAAACGTAGATAGAGGCTGTGTACATTAAAATTATACAAGCTATAGAACTTTTCTTGGGGACTTATTAATATAATCAATATTAAGGACTGTGTTTTCTCTACCTCTTCCCATTTCCTTATATTTACTTCTACTGACAGGTATCTTGAAAACTGTCATCTGAAAAGTTTTCTGCCTAAGGAGTAGTTCCTAAGGGGATAGTATTAAATTTGTACGTAATCCTAACATGAGGGCAGTAACTATACTAATGCTATATGAAGATTTATGCCGACAAACAGCATAAGTAGCATAAGATATGAAATTTTCCAGGGGTTTACCCGCTTGACCAGTTTGTATGATCAATATCAGTTTTCCAATATAGTTCACCATAACTCAATATTTTTTTGATATGTTAAACGAATGACTCCAGTATTTGTAATTATTGGGAAAGCCCTTTATTCGCTTATCAGCTTGGCCCTCGTGTTTAAGTTATAGCTTTTGTGTGTCTCGAAATTAGGTGGTTTATATCCTTCTAAACTTTGACCTGGTCTGTGGTGGGATATCTTGTAATAATATCTCGAGTGCCATTAAAATTTACTTAGATGCTGCTATTCTATTAAGTAGTTAAATTTAGATAACTTGATTAATACTTCACAGGGCCCTTAACGAATATGAGATACAATGGTTAGAAAACGGTGCATTTAAAGTTTAGGGTCTTTAGAAACCTTTTAAATGTTTTTATATTGTTCAGTTTTTCATTTTTAAAATAACAGTAATAAATTTTAGTATTAGTAGTCTTTTTCTAATTGGTATACTTTGACGCATCCTAAGGTCCTTATCGATTAACCGAATTAGCTCTATTAAAAAGAAAACCTTTGAAGGCCTTTCCAGTTTGACCTCTTTGTAAGTTTGTAATTAAACTAACAGTAGACATAAAATTAAATTTTATGATGAGATAGGTTTTTTTTATATGCTATAATCTGAATAGAAGTCTTCATTACAATTATATCACTGCTCACAGAAAATGTTTTTTCAAATTTAAATGCCTTGCAGTTGTTGTAAGTTCAGATATTAACTATATACTATTAAAGAAAATTACTGCGTAATTACAACTAAAGGAACTTGGGCAATATTCATATTAAGGGTATTTACATAGATTTTTACAGCCTTTATAATTTAAGATTCTTGTAAGTGCCTTCATATAATATGTATACATAAACTATTACAAAACAGATAATAACTTCACCGTTTTCACTTTAAGTAATTCGAAATAATCTGTTTTTAAGGCCTTTACGCTCATTCTAAGTATCGCCTTAGAGATCTAATAAGAAACTCCATTGGTTATATCAGAAGCCTTTCTTTCGTATGCCTTACGGCATTTAATAAGTTGTAAGTTAGGAAATTACTTTTAAATTTTTCTTTTTATAACTGCGTCTTTGACCAAAGAAATTTGTTGCGCAATCCTACCACATAAATTGCCCCCAAAGCTTTTAGCCATACTTTTAACAAAAGTAGCTTGTAAACCATCTCAAATTACTATTTTCCCATATGTATTCTGTTAGCAGTTCCATAACTCCTCTAATACTGCAGGGTAATACACTTAAATGAAAATTTTTAATGTTGCTGAAGAGTCTTTTATAGTTCATTTCCTTTTGATAATGACCGTTGCATTCATGAACATCAAATCTACGATAATCTATTCGACAAAGCTAATTGCCCCGAAAAGTGGAGATTTTCTCTTTGACATTGTCGCTTATAGGCTCGCGAGTAATGAAAATATGCTGTCAAAAAATACTACGTAAACCAACATCAATAATGCATTTTCAAGTGTACATCTTTGAAGTGTGTTCTTTATTTAGAAGGTGGTATTTAGATGGTTACACAAAGTAAAAAAGTAACATTTATAAATGCACTGTTTCAACTAAGCACAAAATAGAGTGAAGTCTAAAGAGTAATCTAAAACTTTAGCTTTACTGCGTGCGACTTGCGTTTCACGTTTTACACCTAGGACAGGCTCATCTCATAATTAAAATAATTTAAGTTCATTATAACTTAGAGCTTATAAAAAGAATATCTTTTTAACAACCTCTTTCGACGTTTAGCTTATAAAACGAGAATTTAATAAAGGTCTTGATGCCGGTAACTTTGAGCAAGTTGTATTTAAAAAACCCGTATTGACATTTCATCATTGTCTGCATCCCCTGGTCATAACTTTTTGAAGGAGCACTAGCTTATCAAAAGATTTTCATACAAAGTTTTTTCTATTTAATTTTTTCTAATCTTTAACTCACAATAATTTAGTAAAAAATGTCTAAATGTTTACCTCCTTTATAAAAGTATTTTGTGTATATAGGCTTAGTTTACTAAAGTTACAGCATCCTCCAAGTGTAATTGGATAAATAGTCTCCTTTTTATAGATATTGTTCGTATACTGGTGGCAAATTTATTTGAGATCAGGATCCTAAAAAAAATTTCTTTTAAACAACGCCTTCAAGTAGAGTTCGTGTGTGTGAAGTACACCCTTGTAGAAAGCAAAAATGGGCTCTCGAGTGAAGGTTTATCCCTTGCTTAAATTTACCATATAAGAATTGGAATTTAATAATTATATAAAAAAAACAGTATTTGTTCTTAGAGAGTGTGCGCCCACCTTAATATATTCTTGAAGGCCCACTGCCCAAGCTTACATTTTAGTTTTTTTTAATTAATAAATATATAAAGTTGCTTTTTACTTCAATTAAAAATATAAATTCAAGTCAAAACTAGGGACTGATTAACCATGTGTATATGGCGCCTAGACGCTTTTCAAGTAAACATAATTTTTTTTTAAAAGGCTCAGGCTGAGATAGGCTCCACCTGAATACTGATTTCTAGGGGAAGAAAAGTTAAGAAAAATATGAAAAAAAAAAGATTTAATATCGACTTATAGACAACTTTTAAGGGTGTTTGACGCCTTTGAGAACTCTAAATAAAAAAAAATTGGTAGTAAGCAAAAAGTTTGTCAAGATATCGACGGTGTGACAGGTTTCGTCAAGTGTGAACGAGTTCTAAGATTATACAATTTTAAGCATGTTCTACTAATGGCAATTTAAGTGAATTACAACCTGTTTTAAACTCTTTTGACAAGTATTGAACAACTTCTCATTCTCTTTCTCGTAGTAGTGTGCCTGTAGCTCCTACGAGAGATAGTAAAGAACAACTAGTTTGTTGGGATACGCTAAGAGTACGCACAGACCGAACTACTGTACTCAACCCTCGCTCAAGTTTAAGCGGTGCATGCCTCTAAATATATCGAACAACCGTAGTTAATCCAAACATATACAGCATTGATATCATCATGCCAGTTGGTTAGCCGAAAATAACATACAAACGCTAAAGAAAATAAACACCATAATAAAGTAGTTTAAAAGGAGACGAATAGTACGTTAACACTTAAGTATGTCCATGAGTAGCCACTGTTTAAAGGGACAGTTCAGTAAATATTTTGTGTAAAGGAGAGCTAAGGTATGTAAAGGTCATCGAAACAACCCTAAGTGTTTGTTTTATTACACAAAAATAGACAAGCAGATATGAGTGGGTCTGAAGATAACTGATAGTTTCGACAAAACCTTTATAATTATATCAGTGGTATCATTTTAATGGTAAGCTGCTTAGCTATTCAGCCTGGGAAACGATATATTGAATTGTTTAGATAAGAACTATAAAACTAATGAAGCTTTAACCGTTGAAATCAACTATACTTACACCGTAGCACAAAAATTAATTGTTAACAAACTTCTTAAATCCCATAGACCTTGGCAAAAGCAATAATATTTATTATTTGCGCAACTAAAAACTAGAAACCGACTTTAAGTAATATTTAAAAGAAATATATGAATTATTTGGAGAAGAACGGTTTATTAATGCCTTTTGAAAGAGCCTTTCGAAAAGGAAGTATTAGGTTACGAAAGGATTTTAAGAAAATAAGAGCACCTCAATCTGAAAAGTTTGATCTTCTAGTAGCCTGTAAATTACCAATAACTGTTTACTACAATACTTGAAAGCTTTTTTTTACGTTTTTACCACTCTTTTAAGTTACGGACTAATTAATTTTATATCCTCTATTTTTTGACTAATAAAGCGAGCTATCTCAGGTTGGATATAAAGTTTGAATATAAAGGCACTTGGCCCAAGAGGGTGGTCAACAGTTAATTATCATTCCGCTTATCCTATTACTTGTACAATTAAGTTACTTATATAAAGCATAAACTTTCTGCCCACTTTGTCTCAAACCCCAGTATATCCCCATACACTATTTTTTCCTTTGGATAATCTTAAACTTGGAGTTAGAATTTAGAGTCACCTTTAACTTAGGCCTTCTATTCCTTTGTGCTTGGTAAAACATATTAGTAAAGTGATCATCTAAGCTAAAAAATCAGTTTAAGGATGTATTCAACTCTTGGTTTTTTATACACAATAAAATTTATTTAAGTAAATAGGAAAAAAAATATAAATAATATATACTGTCCTTTCTAAGCAGCCAGTTTATATTTGTAGATTCCAAGCTACTGAATTAAAGCTAACTCTTTAGGTCGAGCACGTTTATTAGGTAGTGGAAAAACAGAAGCTTTTCAGGAGGCTCTCATAAGGTAGTGGCTTTGCGACTTTTTGGTTTAAGGTTAGTCTACGACTATTAATCTGCTTCAAGGCAAAAAAGTCGAGCCGGCAAGAAACAGGTCATAATAATGTAACTGCAGTGACTCATAGGAAAGCAGTGAACTCAACATCTAGGCTTAAGAACTGGCCTAAGATTACGAGCACCAACAGTCGCTCTACCAATACGGCTACCTAGCGCAGATATGGTTACTTTATTAATAAGGTAATCTGGATAAGTAGATATTTTTCTTAGCGCTTTCTTTATTTTAATTTCCCTCTTGGTTTTGGCGGAATGGCAACTTTGGTAGCGGTTGACTGTTTTTTTGGCTTTGCGGACCACCTTTCCTTGTTTTGGCTTTAACTTTAACTCCAGCTATGTTCACTCACTCTTCTGTCTTCGGCTGTGGGCTGCGTGCAGGCGGTCTTTATATGATTACACACCAATTAACTGTTCTTCAGTCGCTACTATAATTATTGATTAATGTTTTTTTGATAATGATTTTTACGGACGCTCCGTAAGTCGAGAGCAGACCGCTTAGTCTTGATTGGGCGCAAGAAGGTGCCCATACATACCCCAGGAGGAGTTTATGAATGTCCGATTTTCTAGGGGGAGTGCAGTACTTGGATAGCCTCCTGGTCACTCACCACAGTACTAACCCTTCCTGGAGATTTGACTTCTCAGACAGGACGGGTTCTTTTCGCTAGTGCACTTACTCTATGCAAATTTTAATTTTGTGATTTGTTTTATAACAGCTTCACTAGATACTATTATAATTGTTATCGCTCATTTATTTTTTTTTGACTTTTGACATTTTAATTACTAATAATATTGTAGAATTTTATTGTACTTTTTTTTAAAAAACTTATCAAGCCCTTCCTGATGCGTGGATAATCATACTAGTAAAAAAGTGTAATTTCACTGTACTAAATTCGGCAAGTAGTTATTTTTTGATCTTTAAATTATCATTGTTACATAAATTATATATAACCTGATTAAAGAAGGAAAAATAAGCTTTTGTTATTTTTTCTATAACTCTTGCTTACATATTATTACTGTCCTGCACAAAACTTATGTAAAGAAGTCTCTTCTTTTGATTATTTCTAAGTAATTTTAATGGGCCTTAAAGAGGAAAAAAAGCCCAAATACGCGGAACGAGATTACTGTAAGAGTACAGCCCCACCGTTGCAATGTTATAAAAATAACCTTGCGAAAAGACTCTTTTATAATAGCCTTACGCTGCTTTCTCTCTGATAATTTAAAAAAAAAAGATAAAAATTCCTATAGATTAATTTCTTTTTTTAAAAAGAAGCAGCTTAAGAGGAAGTATACCCGGTTTTTTTATAGAGAATCTTTAAATCTTCTCTCCATAATAAGTTAATAGGCACGTAAGTTATAGATGGAGTGGCAAAAGCCTTTTATTAGTGGCAAAGTAAAATACATAAGGTTTTCAGGAATTCAGACCAATAAGTTTTAAATCACACACGAAAAGTTGGGAATTCTGGATGGAGAGAAAAGTCGAACTGGACGCGTTGAGTGGCTTTATAACCAGAAGCTAGTAAATTCAGAACAACAATGTTCGTTTTGCTAATCTTCAGTAAAGATTTTAGTTCCTAAAAACAAATACACGAGAAAGTTAAACAAATAAGAAAAACAGAGCATTTGACTAAAGTACGTTAGAAGTATCCGGAGGCGGCCTTTCTTTATTTATTAAACCCTCAAGAAAAACTTTGCAACTAGTAAAACACTTCACAGAAGTCCCGTAAGTACACTAGAAACAGGAGGCGCATAATAATAGTAGTATTAATAATAGTATTAGTAATAATAAGCCGACCTCCTCCGATAATTTCTGCTGAGAAGCACGAAAAGCGTCGTATGCTAAAAACGAGGGGAGATTCACAGCAAGAAAGGCCTTAGAGTAAAAAAAAGTTTTGCTTATCCATAGCATTATATATAATGCCAACTTTGAAACGGTTGTGGTAGCGTAAACGCTCCGAATCGAAATAAGCCGGCCGTTTCACGCGTTGTTCTTTTAACCAAAGTGCAGTAACCTTCATATTTACCACATAACGAATAAAACTTTCCACACAAATATCCAATACGAGGCCGTACATGGCGCATGCCGCTGCACAGAGCCTGCTTGGCCTGCACGAGCCCGTACATAACAGAACGTTCATTTCCCACGTGTCCGCCTGCGCAATCCAGAGAGCCCTGAAACACGTGCGCAAACCGGTGGGATGAATGGGCTTCTGCGAGAGAATTCCATTGAACAAACAAGTAGAGCTGTGCTTTCCACTCAAATAAGTTTTCAAGGTACCTTACATAGAAGAATAATAATAATAAAAGACCAAAAAGTAGCTAAAGGGCACCAATATATCATCGTTAGTTCGTAGTCTTTGTATAACTGAAGCTCGAAGCCAAAGACCAGAAACCGAACCATTAAGTCTATTTTCACATGGAAAAGCCACGTGGTTGCCTCGTGGAAGGCACCTTTATAGCCGGCCCCAAACAGTTCCTGAGTAACAGGACCAATTAAAATATCAAAAACATATTAGAGCAGCTAATTAAAAAGCACCTCGCAAGGCGCGTTTTTTTTGCAAAAAAAGCGAGACTTGGGAATCCGACCACTCGGCAGCGGCTTGCAGGCTTTCAAAGCTCTTTAAAAGTTTGGCCAGCTTGCGGTGCTGGCGGGAGCGATTGTGCAGCAAAACTCTGAAGTAGGATTCAAAGGGCTGAAGCAGCCAATCAACAGGTCATAAAAGCATACACACAACACAGATAAAAGAACCATTTGTGCGGCTTCACCAAAAGTCGAGACAGCCCGAACGATCAGCAGCAGATCTTGCTGCTTTCTATTTTTCCAGAACAGCGGGATACAAACGTCTTGGAGGGAACTGCTATGATTAGTTTGTTCAGCAAAGTCGCAAAGTTCACTAAGAAAGGGCCCTTTAATAACGTTTGAAAGAAATAGTTTGACCATTATCTGCTACCAAGATGATATGGATGATAAACGGAGCCGAAAATAATACAAAAATAAAGTAGACATAAGAAGCTGAAAATGGTTACTTTCAATGTATGAAGCCCAAAAAGTTTAGAGTGTCGCCAGGCTAAAGTCTACGAAAGTTTAGTCATAAAGCGAGAAAGGCAGAGCGAGCAGCCTGTAATGTACACACGCACGTGGAGAAGAGCGGAAGAAAGCATTGTGGGGCAAGTGGAACTGAACCGTTTGTAAAACTTTTCGAGCTGATCGAGAGTCATGGTGGGTTTTATTACAGCGAAAAGGTCGCTCAAACTGCAGAGAAGACGCGAAAAATAGTCAAAGGCAGCATCTAAGTTATCAAACATTTACATAATAATAATAATAGTAATAATAATAATAATAATAACAATAATAATAATTAAACTATAATACCTATACTACTATACGGTAAGCCAGAGCAGGGTAAAGTACTATGTTTTTTATAAGTAAGATCTGGAGCGAAACTCATAAAAACACATGTGTCCGCTATAATCATTATTATTATTGTTATTAATATTATTATTATTAATGTTACCAATTTTTAAGCCTAAATGAGCGCTAGTTTTAATAAAAGTTAAGTTTGAGGTGAGTTCAGAAATAAAATTCATTAACTTGGGGAACGATGAAAAGACTGTCTCGCATTATATATAATAAAAAAAACATTCAAAAATTTAAAAAGCCCTGGAAAACACGTGGCGGATGCGCCGAACACCTTAATGGTATAACCTACCAAATTATACTGAATAGGGAAAAAATTGGATCTATTTAACCGCTCATCAAAGTTATATAAGAATTTTCAACTACCAAAATACATTAAGTGGACGTTTTTATAATAACTCGCAGCAATTCTTTAACTTGAAAGTTATCGACTATTGTTATTTATTATTATTATTATTATTATTATTATTATTATTATTATTATTATTACTATTATTATTATTTTTTTATTATTCCATTTACAAAGAAGCACTACTATTATGAACTGAACAGGTCGTCCACTGCATAAAAAATTGAAGTAAAGATAGTCGAAACCTAATTTAAAATAAAAATTATATAAAAATAATCAAAATTTACTATTTGTGTTTATTATTATAACTATTTATAAAATTACTTCAGCCTGTGTTGGACGGCTCGCCAGCTCAAAAGTTCTTCAGTTTCAAGTTTATTTGCTTTAAGATGAGATGTAACAAATGCGATGGAGTCTTCCAGCAGGTTAACAACTTCACGGTCATCAGGCTTCAGTTTAGTTGAATTAAATTATAAAAATTACGAGTTATTTAAAATTTCTTGAAAAGTTGTAACTCAAAAAACGTTAAGCACTAATTTTTTATAAATAAATATTTAATTAACAATAACTTTTAAAACCAAATGATTAAACAATTTCGCCTTAACAGATTATCTAAAAAATTTAAGCTTTAAGCAATTTGATTACAATTTTAATCCTAAAAAATAATTTTTAATAAACCTAAATTTATATTAAATTTTTAAGATGAAAAAGAGACAACCAGATAGTCGTGAGAATCAGAATTTAATAATTTGAATTGAAAATCTTCTTCACTGCAGACACCAGAATCGAGAAGAATCTATTAAGTTTAAAAAGGCGTTATAAAATTATCAAACTTGCACTTTACTAATAATTAAAAATAATTAACAAAAAAAAATTAATAAATTTGAATTGTAAAAAAATAAAATCTTATAATTAATAAATGAAATAAAACTTTATGCATCAGCGTAGAAGTTTTGCTTAAACCCAAACAAAGCGAGAGTAAGATGGGATCCTCCACGATAGACGGGCGAAGCATATATAGACTCGAGTATATGGTCTAAAAACAATAACATTTTTATGGATTAACCAATATTGTACAGTATTACAGAAAAAATCTGTAGAAAGAATTATTAATTTTTATAATTTTAAAAAAAGTATTTTTTTTATTGGAAAAGTATATAATAACAGATAAATCACTTGAGCTATTGACTGGCCCGAAAGCCAAGAAACTTCCCTACGTAGCAGCTCATCAAAAATACCTATAACTTCCTTAGGGGCAAACTCTTTAATTTTAACCAAATTTCTACGTAAATCAAGTACCAATGACATCTACTACAAAATTTTGCATGAAAATCTCAAGGGGCACCTGTTAAGGGCGTCCTCAATAGATAGTATTCGATCGGGATTAGAAATAAGATGAAGCCCCATATCCATTTTGGGTTCCATCATCTATTTAAATTAAGCAAGATGAAGTCAGAGTAGAGGGTAAACAAAATACTTCCAAGGCTGTCATGGCATCATAAAAAGAGATGCAAGAAACTACTTCGCCTATTTCCAAGCAACGTGCTTTTTCCATAAACTCCACGGTAATATCCTCCCATTCTATAACATATAAGTAAGCAACTAAGCTATACTTTACAAAATATTACCAGAGAATTCCTCCATAATGGCGCCCAATTATGCAAAACTCAGTTTCTAGCACGAGCATCAAAAAAGGCTTCTAAGGTTATTTGGCGTGAAGCCGAGAAAGTCAGTAAGCGCAACGCGCTTCCGCCTCTTTTTAAGGGCAGGGTTATTCTTTGTGGTTAACCCATTATATTATAGTAGTTATATTTTAAATTCAAAAGAGTAAAAGCAATCCTCATCGTTATGGTAAATAGTTAAGTGTTTTTATAAAAAGTTTATGTAAGGTAGTACTTATGTTAAAAATTATTAAAGTATGGTAAATAAGTAAAACAGATATAGCAGTAAAATCATGCTCTCGTAAATTATAATGCGTTAGAATTAATAAATCTTTTAAATTTGCTTATCCTTTTTATCTATTGAGGTAAGGTAACTCTTTTTATACTCTATAAGTAGGCTCAATTATTTCTTAAGTGGGTGGGTTTATATTTAGTACAAAATAATTAATATAAAAAATATTTTTTCACAAAATATCTAGCTAATTTGAAATTAGTTATCTGTGCGGAAGTCTTCCCTTAATCCATCAGTTGCTAAATGAATTATTTAAGCAATTTTCTACTTAATTACGCTGATCAATTAGTTTAAGTGTGCTTTATGGATCTTATATCTTTGTGAAGGTTAGCCGCGTGTGGCCTCTAGCCCAGCTCAACCTTACATAACTTAAAACTACTTCTGCATAACAGAAATAACTTTTCACTGCTTCTATTAGGGTACATTATTCGATGAAGTTAATCTGTAATCGAAATAAATTAAATAAATGCTCCCCTTTTAAGTTTTGAACTATATGTCTCATTAATTATATAAGAAGTCAGTTTTTTAATAATTCTTATTCTTAAAATGTTTCAGAAAGAACTATTCCCGCCGAATATTTACATTATTGAGGTCAAGATATCAAACATATTTTCTAACAGAGTTGTAATTGAAATTTATCTAGTGAGAGTGAAAGTTGTCACCTGTAGCTCAGTTAGAAGAGCATTATCTCGAAATCTCTAAATCGCGAGTTCGATTCCCGTCGGCCCAACTCGCATATTTCTGGTTGTGGGTTAAGCGTACAACTGCCCTCTAAACAAAATTTATTACTTTCTGTTTGGCTAGAAAAAGGTTATATAAGTTATTAAGTGAGGAATAGAACTTAAGATCGACGGTATTTTGAATATCGTAATCGCACAATTGAACTCTTTGAGAGATAAGAGTAGAAAATTAGTAAAAAAGAAAAAAGTAAACTGATATTGGTGAGAAATATAACTAAGATCTTAGCGCAGTGTTAGGGAATACAACCAAGTTAAAACTGTGCATGCGTACATGGGAGGATAGAATTAATAACTAAGAGCTTATTATGGAAAAACCTAAAACTGTAAACATTAAAAGGAAAGGGACTTAAAGAAGTGTGCGAGAGGAGCATTTACGTAAATCCTTACTTTTAAGGCGTTAAACCTTAAGTGTCTGTTTACATGCTAAAAACGCTGATATATTTAAAACAGTGTTGTTAGCAACTAAAATAAAATTCGATTATATAATATAAAGCTGGGTGAGCCTAGTAAATTATAGCATAACTGTACAAGTAAAGAGGATTAACCAAATTTTTTAGCTAAGGATTCACAAATTTAAAATCGGAAATAGCTTTGAAAGGGTTAAATACAGTAATTAGCTATTCATTATTGGATATAATGAAACCTTATTTACGAAAAATATGTGGTAACAAGCTTTAAAAAGCTACAAAGCTGGATGCATTATTTATCCCTGTATAAATCAACTTTAGAGAAGTCGACATCTTAAACTAAGAATACGTTTCTAGTTCACGCTTAGGGTTCTACTTTACTTTCTGAAATATAGTAATAAATACACATTATGTTAAGAAAAATTGTTTACTCTCTTTATTTTCTAATTATATATAATCTTTATTATAAAAACTAAAAAAGCTAAAGTCCTCAAAAATTCTTTCTAAAACTTAGGGAATTTTTAATTTAAGCAGCTAAACAACAGGTGTTGAGTGGGCACAAAAAAAGTTGCAGCCTAAAAAACCGTAATAGTAACCCAGTTGATATAAAAGGCGGATTTTATATAATTATATACGGAGTTGAACTTAACTCCAGTAGTTGCAATTGTGAGAAAAGGTGTAAATACACTGTAAAATAAATTTTTAGGAAGGTACTCAAATAATGTATAAAACTAAATAAGAAAACGAGAGTTTTTATTTGAGTTTTTAAAACTCATAATTGGTAATTGCATTCTGCGACTGCTAGAGTAAGGGGTCGATGATCGCAGCTAAGCATTTTTTTAGAGGCTTAGCAAGCGGGTCGACAGCGATATATTATAATGAACCACAATTAAGTGCAATCAATTTCGGCAACAGGAATGGTCAATCTACAGCTTTTGTCAATAGGTAGGGACAAAATGGAAGTGTTGTTCTGAGTGATAATAAATCTTTTTATTAGTCCGTAAAAAGTTAAGCGTATGTCCTCAAGTTTACTGTACCATTACAAGGACTTTAGCCTTAAAGCGCCTTAATACTGTTAGAAGACATACATCCTCTGAAATGATTTTTTTTATTCTACCTCTATCGGGGCAGTTTTCTCTGTAAGTATTGACTATTTCACACGCACTGTCTGCGTGTGGGTGTAGACCTCAAAGGCGCTACCGTCATGGTTTTCATCCAGCTATTTTAGCAAGGTGTTTGCAGTTGACACTTCCATATAGAATTATCCAGAAGCTATACTCTTTAAATAAGCAATGAGCAACAAGATCTGACAGCCAAAGTGCCTCACAAGTGTTATTAGCTGCAAACAAAAACATTGGATAGTCAAAGTGAAAGATTAACTTCTATATTTTATACAGCTTGCAAACATTTTTTTATTTAAAACTTCTTTTCAAATAGTTACCATCCTCGTCGACTCGGTTCAAGAGGTAAGTCACTAAGTTTCGCTGATAGCACAAATAAAGATTCTCTAAATTTCCTTTGCGCTACAGCAATTATTGCAGATTCTGTTTTTTTACGGCCGGCCACGTTTCAGACCAGAGTCAGCTATGTAGCGCAACTGTTCTCTAAAATGTGGATCAATTAAGTTAAGATCTTGAAGTGTTTCGAGGGTTGTCAATAGTTTCGCTATTCTTAGCATTCCGTAGTGTTCGTTGTCTTGGTTACTGCGTTGATCTTCGTTCCGGATAAATCTGCTTCCATTACTTGACATTATGAGCTTTAGGAAATACTTTATTCGATTTTTGTTTCTACACATTAAATTGTCGGGGTTACAATTAAAACAGAGTATTTATTGAACATTACATCCGCTGTTTTATTAAATGAGTCCCAACATTCCATACCCTTCGTGCTTCGTGAATTGTGAAGTGAGATCACTCTCGCCGCACGCTGTAACGGTATTGCAGAACCTTACCTCCTACTTGTAAGCGGAAGATGATCAATAGTTCTGCCAAAACCTGTTACTCCCTGGCTGTGTACTGATGTTCCTTACGGAGCCACTCATTTCCATACATGATGCGAATGAGCTCGATACTTCCCATGCGCTCGTTGGCCTCGACAATCAAAACGACCAATATACATAATTTTCTACGATAATAAAATAGTCGATATTTTCCTTAAAAGGTAAGAAATGATGTAATTTAAGGCCTGCAATCGCAATACCACCAAATATATATAGCTTTGCATATTGACAATAGACGATATTATTAAGTTGTAATAGTTGATATTAGTTTTCGCATTCTCAGCTTAGTTAATAATCGATTTTTTGTAAATGATCAGCTCGATTCGAAATTATTAGTATAAAGTTGGTTTCAAGTATTTGTTCTAAGTAAAAAGTTGACTTACAGTTAACAGTTTGTACGTCACACTTCTTCACTGTTGTCTTGCGTCTATCATATTTTGTACTATATTTTACGCTTATTAATTTTTTATTTAATGCTACTTACTTTTTTGAAGTTGTGGAGTTGACATGCAATTTCCTTTAACTGGCCCTGATCTTGAAAATAGTGGTTTTAAAAATAGAAATTTTGTTTTTAACATTCTCTATTTGATTTAAATATTTTAGAAACTTTGGTTTCTTAATTAATTTGATAAATAACTATTTAAATAATAAACTTAGCTATAGATGCGCAGAACTTATAAGATTGTTTTAAAACATTAGAGCCCCCTAAAGCCAAAGAAATTCCTAAGACTCTTGTTCAACAGTTTCCTGAAGAAAGTCCCTTAGTATATATTTCCATTTAATTACAGATATTAAAACTAGAGTTTATATAATCAAGATTTCAAGGACACGAGAATAGATGAGTACTACTGGTTAAGGTCAGATACCAGAGCAGATCAAGAAGTTCTTACTCACTTGAAACGCGAAAACGCTTATACCGAAAACGTGCTTATGAACGGAACGCGCGGTCCTTTAATTTCGTAGTTTTTACTGTTTTTCATTTTTTACTTAAGAGTTTTTTTATAAGTACAGAACTTCGTGAGACTTTGTACAATGAAATGAAAAACAGAATTAAGGAGGATGATCTACAACCCGCGAGAAGAAAAAAAGATTATTTTTATTATGAGAGAGTCACCAAAAATAATCAGGTTTCACTATTCCTCAAAAATATATTAGTATTAACTTTTCTTGTAGTATCTTATTCATTGCAGGCAACCTATTGACTATGACCGAACTTCAAAAAAGCCTACCATTGATGATGACATTGATCCTTCCTTTGAAACTGAAGAGGTCTACATATGGAATTTATACTTAAAAAAAAAGAACTGCGTTCATAAAATTTAAAGATTTTGTTGGATGAAAATGAACGTGCGAGTAATTTAGAATCATATGTTTTGGCTAACTTGGTGGTCTCTCCAGATTCCTCCAAGATGGCTTTTGTAATTTTTCTAGTTGTTCTGCTTTTTTTTATTTTAGTTTGAACCTATTTTAGACTGAAGACCGAACAGGTAGTGAAAATTATGAGTTATATATTAAAGACTTGCGGGCATCGCTACTTCACCGTGTGGAGCTGGAGGGCCACAATGAAAACTGCTCTGGAGACGTTGCTTGGGGTAAAAAATACTATTAAAAATATTTTCTATAAGTAGATTAAAATAATAATTATTTTTCTTTAAGTATTAAAGTCAAATTTTATAAATAAGATTGGTTATAACTAATTTTTCACTAATTTGCAAACTTTTTAAATAAATAAAATTGAATTTTAATAAAAGAAGAGTAAATTAAACCATTTTTATTAAGTAATACTATGTTAATAATGTTTGCTAAAATTATTATAAATATAATATATTTCTTTGGCGGCTGATCTTTATTTTTTCTTAGGGGCCAATAATGTTTTATACTACCTTACCAAAGATAAGCTTAACAGACCCTTCAAGCTATACAAGTGCGTTTTCACTTTTGCGGAGGCCGAGAAGGAGGGCGACCTTTTTGTGCGCAACGCTGTTCACTCCCTCGTGTGGCACGAGACTGACGAACGCTTTTCACTATCACTATCCCGCTCGAATTCCGAAGTTTTTTTTTTATTCTTAATCTTATTTTAATATATTTTTGTTATTTACTCCTCTGCGAAGGCCGTAGTTTACTTGGTAAGTCAGTCCGCTGTTACGTCCGAAGTTTTTTTCCTACGTGCGGACGACGTCGACGACAACAGGAAGCTGAAGGGCGTTTTGCCTCGAAGGCAGTCCGTGGAATACTCGGTTGCTGACGTGGACGGTAAATACTACTGCTGTTCTGTCACGCGCGGAGTGCAGTTTTCAACATGACGAGCAGGTCGCCTTTTTTTTATTGTGTGCAACTCTGACAACTGCTACAATTCGAAATTGCTGGTCGCCAAAAAGTGATCTCTTTCATTTCCATTGATCCTCTTCTTATTGAAATTTGCATATACTTCAGTGTTCGTCTGGGCCGGTATGAAGATTGCGAAGAGCTAATTCCTCACAGAACGGAGGTCAAGTTGGAGGCGATCAGGACTTTTCAGGAGCACGTGGTCCTTGTGGAGCGCTATAAAGGTGGCTTTGGCCACTTGTTTTTGCCATTTTTGTTTAATCCCGCTTTTGAGGGCTCCGAAGGCTTTGCGTTTACTCTCTGAATCCCGCTAAAGGAGGACCGGCGCGAGAGGCCCGACCCTTGGATCTTTGTGACTGGCAAAGCAACTTGGTGGCGTTATACGCCTTGGGGACCATCGCCTTCCCTGAGGAGTCTTATTCTCTCCGAAGGTGAAAAGACTATATGGGACACTTCTGCCCTTCTTTATTGTTCCCCTTCCCCCGCTGGTCAGGGTCTCCGGTTTTTATTTCTCGCATATCCTCCGCTTTGTGTACACCAGCTTCAATGTACCGGGTACCGTTTACGATTACGATTTATGGACGGGCGCGCGCAAAGTTAAAAAAATTCAGGCAGTCTTAGGTCTTTTTTTTTGCTTGCTGGGCATTGTATATATTTTATGTCCTCTTTAATAGGAGACTTCTCTTCGGATGACTACCAAGTTAAACGCACGTGGGCAACCGCTGTGGACGGCGTCAAGGTTTTACTAAGGCACGCTTTTTGGTTAAAACCCTGCCAACAGTAAGTTCTTCTAGGTGCCCGTGAGCTATTGCTACCATAAACGGAAGTGTACCTTCCCTGCGCCTGCTTACCTGGACGGCTACGGTGAGCTCCCTTCCGCTGTAGTACGCATGGTTTCCTGTGTAATGCTTTTTTTTTCTTTTCATTTTTCATAAAGGCAGTTATGAGTACTGCAATGAAGCTGTTTTCAGCTCATCTCTTTTGAGCTTGCTGGACAGAGGTTCCCTTTTACCAACTATTTCTTATAGTCTCTAACAACCTTCCCCGACCCTCCTTCCCCAGGAGTGCTCGTGGTCATAGCACATGTCCGCGGGGGCGGTGAATTGGGGCGGTAGGGCTTGTAATATCCCTTCTTTCCTCTTCGCTATTATCCATCGCAAAGCATGTGGTACGAGGACGGAAAGTTTTTCAAGAAGCATAACACGTGGCGCGACTTTCTTTCATGTACCGCTCATCTGGTCAGTGAGAGGATTGCTCAGGAGGGGAATATTGTTTGTGTTGGAGCCTCAGCGGGTCCTTCCTGCTTTTTCCTTAGAGTCTTTGCCGCTCCCACATTGACTTTTTAAAGGTGGTTTATTGATCGGAGCGCTGTTGAACGAATGCAAGGAAAATACGTTTGTTTTTTTATTTTTTTTTCTTGTAAACACGAAACAATTTTTTTTAAAAAAAAAGCTATGCCGGTGCCGTAAACCGTGTGGGTTTTGTAGATGTCTTGACCACCATGAGCGATCCTTCCATCCCTTTAACGATGTGCGAGTGGGAAGAATGGGGTAAGCAGGAAGCCCGCGTCCACAGAAATGCAACTTTGTATACGATACACGACTGCAGGGAATCCCACCTCCTCGAAGGCCTGCTACGAGTATATAAAAAGTTACTCTCCCTACGACCAAATCCTAAACACCAAAATAAAAACGGAAGTTTCAGGTTTTTTATTATCCGTTTGTTTGTTAAAGAGAGCTACAACTCAAACGTATCTTACTGTAGACTCTAGGAAAAAGTTTTTTCCTCCCATTCTGGCAACGGCAGGTTTGAAACATTCTAGTAATTAGCATGCGGGAGAGATCCTTATGGTATCTAAGGATTAAACGATCCACGCGTGGGCTACTGGGAGCCTGCGAAGTGGGTCCAGCGGCTCCGGAAGTACGACGCGAATCACGGTTCTTTTTTTCTAGCGTGTCACGTACACGCTAATTTTTTTTCTAAATTAGGCAGAAATATTTTGTATCGCTGTCTTCTGGAGAGGTAAATGCCTTTACTTTGAATTCCGATCAGCATATACTTTTGCCCTTCCCTAGCGGGCATTTTTCCAAAAGTGGAAGATACTCCAGACTGGAGGAACTGGCCTTAATATATGCCTTTTCCTTGAGCTGCCTTTTCAAAAAAGCTGAATTTTAATAGTACTCACTATGCAAAAATAAAAAAGTATGCGAATAATTTTTAGAAAGCATTTATTGTTACATACGCATTGAAAAAATTTAAACTCTGACTATTTTCGTGGGGTTCTTCTGACGGACTAGGGTCTTTTTTTCTAAAGAGTTTTGATCCCACTTTTTCTTTAATATCGTCATACAACTCGACTGGTCTGCCGGAAGTTAAAAGGAAGCAGGGAGCTTAAGAATTATTGAGTAAAGCTGTTTACCCGATTTGCTGGAAAGTGTTAATAAGCGCAAGTACAGTGAAAAACTGAAAGAGCACTCGGGATCTTCCAAAGTATTGCATGCCTTTAGACTGCGAGCAAGAAGAGTAAACAGTGAGTAGGAAGAGAATTGCAAGCAGTAATAAGGCTGAATACGTAATCTTTTTTATAGCAGTAGAGCAAGCCTATAGCGCTCCCACTAATTCCAGCAAGCCCTAAAAAAATAAAAACGTATTACTATTATTTTATCATTAAAATTCTAATTCGTTTATAAAAGTTGTATTCACTTGCACTTTTTCTTCTTGAAAACGCGATTACGCGCCTCAGTTGAGTTAATTAATTGAGTTTAACAAGCGCAGTGTTTTTTAAAAATTCCAAAAGTTTGCTTTTATATAATTACTAAGTTTAATCAAATCCCAATTTTTTTTATGGTCGTAGGAGCAACTGTTTTTCTCTAATACCATGGCAGGTCTGTTTCCCGACTTTTTTTTAGCAAGTTAAACTTAGATTAACTTCTTAAAGGCTAACCAGATTCTTCATGATAAGGAGAATATTTACGAATTACAAAAAGTAATTGGAATTTTAGAAAAAATAGCTAATTTTACATTTGAACAACAACAAATCAATATGCACAAGGAAGCAACTAGAAGAAAGTTTTTAACAATGCAAAATGGGTTAAAATTAACCAAATAGTATAGGTTTGCTTTTTTAAAATAAGGAGGAGTCTCTCCTGCCTGGTAAGTTTTTCGGGTTCCTTGGTTTCGCTCATTCGCTCGTACAGCCTACATTTTAACTGGCATTCAACTTATAAGTAAAGGGTAAAAACCTGCAAACCAGAATGGGAATATGACTTAGACAGTAAAAGTCTAACAAAAAATAGTCAAGGAAAAGTTGTTCACCGGAATCTAACGTTCCTCTCGCACTGCTGCAATGGTGGTGGTTAAGAGTAATCCCTTTTGCACCTGATGATGCTCCTTTTGACGGTTTTCCAGTGGTCTTCATTTGTCCCTGCCGTGTTCGGGTTTAGGTCTTGCTGAAGTAGTTTTTATGTTGAAACACGCTGGGTGTACATTTAATAAAAATAAATTTTTTATAAATATAGTGTACCACTTTATTTAATACTGGAAACTTATAAAACTAAACACATCTTAAATTTTTGTTACTGATAGAAATAAATAAAGGGCCTTGATGTTAAGACTAAGCCTAGTATCCATTTATTTAAATGCTCCTGCCTTAATCCATTTTTATGTAGATGCATCCCTTTGTTTGATTTTTTTTTTATTATAAAGTTGCATTTTAAAGAAAAGCAAGTGTATTATAATACTATAGGGATTTTGAGGTTAGCAAAGTCATTTAATTTAAAAAAACCGTTAATAACAAAAGCATGTTTATATTCATATGTCGTTGCTTTAGTCCTGAAGAAATAACTGTTTACTTCTGAAATGTGGGCTTTTTGTTATAATAGAAAAAGCATGATTTTTCGTTATTTTTTTCTCTACTTTACTTATTTTTATTAAACTTTTGTAATAAACAAATTAATACGCGCAAACAAAGCATTATAGTCGTTGTATAAAGGTTTTTTTTATTGCTAATTTTAGTGGTATTTAAGTTTACATATGTTTAATAAAGGTTCTTTGAAGAAATAAAATAGTTAACCTGACTTTAACTTTAAGATAACCGGAGCCTCCGTCGAAGTATTTTTTGTCCTTTTTGTCCGCTTTTTGTTAAGGTCGATTAACTCTAACTCAAATATCTATACTCCGCTTTTTCTTTTCATAGGTGCTTACGCTTATATTAGAGTTATTTTTAGATTTCCGTGGTTTCTACGACTTCAAGAACCTAAAAGAACTGCTTATGTCAGAGGTTATCTTTGTACCTGTCTCATTTAATCGTTTTGGCTGTCGGCTCCTTCCCTTATTTAAAGTTTTAACTACGGTTTAACGGGGAGTTATCTTTATTTACGTAAGAAAGTGGCTTATCCCTATAAGTGTAAGAAAAAGGTTAAGTGGGCGTAAAGGTGTTCAGACGGTCAGGTAGTTTATGAAAAAATTTCTAACCGAAGACATATTAGCTTTGATACAAACATTACAATTGACCCAAGCAAAGAGAGTTTAAGTCATTGCAAGCTCATTTATTTTAAACAGTGCGCGGAACCATTAAATTTAGGTCTTTTTTACTAAAGTTACAAAAGGGGCTAACCTCTGATTTTTTTTAGCTTTTTTGGGCGTAGATGCTTCGCGGTGCGGAAGAAGAAAAGGAATAAGGCACTTCGGAGGTTTTTAAGTTTCATAATTTACCTAATCTTAAAGATAAGAACAATGACCTTTCTTTGCTTAAGTTTTCTTACTGACAAATCATGACAGAAGCAACGGCTTAAAAGTACACTCCAATAAGCAATTCTTTTCTTCAAAATATTAGCAAAAAATTACAGTTTATTAAACTCTAAAAGTAAATTTTATCGACAAAGAACTTTTTCTTTACTGCAGAAAACGCAGAAAAACCCTAAGTGAAACGTACTAATTTTTTTATCGTAAGTTACTGTATTTGAAGGTTAAGAAAGCAATCACACTAACATCATGACCTCATTTTTATCTTTTAGCTTCTGTATACAAAGTTCTTATGTTAACACATTTTAACGCTGCATCTTTTTAAAAAAGTTAAAAGCAGTTCCCTACAGTTTATTTATCAAATAGGACAGCGTTGCGGTGGAGAAGGAGCACGAAGGTGGCTAATAAAAAGTTAATTACACCCTAGGTCAATATTGTCTTCTTTGTATAGCCGTAAAATAGTTCATTAGACCCTCTATCTCTTTTAACATTATTGTTAGAGGCGTTATAGATAATTCAAAGGATTACGCGGTTAGCGATTTCCAACTAACATTTAAACTGCCAAACAACTACGTTCGGAAGACAAGGATGAGCTGTGCGTGCAGCTTACAAAAATATCACACTACTTGTTAAAGGTATTTTCCCATTAAAAAAAAAAATGCTCTGATCTTTGATGTTGTTAACTTACAAAATATTTAGTCAAATACGGTAGAGTACCTGTAAAAGAATTTTCGTGCGCACTTATACAAGAGACACATTTTACTGGCTTATAATCTCGTAAATGACAGGCAGCTGAATACTAGTTCAAGTGTGTTAAGCTGTGCGCTTTGGTATTTAAATTCTCTAACAGAACTTTTAAAAGTTAAATAGTCAGCCCGGTTGGATGACAATTAGAATAAGCATTTTTATATTGAATATTGTATTACAACTTCTTAGAATAAAAGGAGGGCGCTGCACTCAGGCCTTGAGTTGTAAAAGTAAAGCATTCTTATTGCAATTTTTATACCTCGAAAAAATATTTGGCTTTTTCTGTAAATATAATTAGTCATAATATTTAAGTATGAGTGATATAATACATATCTATAAAGGCTTACAACTTTCATTCTGTTATTCATATTACTTCATATAGGGTTCTTTGCCACTCACCTCAAAAAATATATAAAATAGTTTACTCGGGGTGCCAAGTGTAACCTTTTTTGTATATGGCAAGAGTTTTCTATGTTAACACATAAATCTAAACTTCAGTGGCAGGTATACTTGAAATGGCTTTATAATTCTCTATACGTGACTGGTGTATGAAGGCCAGTTTAAGGGATTTAAGTATCATATATAATTTCGTTTAAAATTTTAACAATAATAATAATAAATACTCCGCCTTAATTAAAGTTTTCACTCTGGCATGGCGATCAATCTCAAAGAAGCAGGAGTATTGATTTCCATTTGCATAATTAGGTTTAGCTAGCAATATCATTACATGTATCTATTGGGAGCTATAGGTAGGTTGATATAGGTGTCAAAACACGGATGACGAATCTAACTAGTACCCAGATGACTATGAAAGAGGAATTTGCGTATTGTCTCTATAAAACATCATAAATAACTTTCCAGCTAACTGTACAAAGAAAAATCTAGGCAAAGCGTGCGACTCGATGCGGAACACTCAGAAAGGTAGTATACTTCACGCTCTAAGATGGGTAGAAAGCATTTAAATAAGTCTGTTTTCCCTCGATAGAAAATATCTTGCTAAGACGCTAGGTTTATTTATAAATACTAAGTGATAGACAAAAGTGTTTACACTTTTTAATTGTATATTAAAGAATATATGAAAAATTGCAAACCAAAATCATATGACTTGTCCTGCTCCGTTGACATAATATTCTAATTACTTGAATGCGATTTACAACTTTGGCTATCTACAGAAGTCATTTATAAAGAATTAATATTTTCAGTACACAACCAAAATAAATATATCCTTATTCGTAAAAAAGAGCGCTGGCGAAAGGAACAAAACCTTAAGTTAGAAGGTGAAAGTGGGGGAACGCTTGCTTAATTCCTTTCCCTTTGGAAGGATGGCATAAAGAACTGTATTACGTAATGGACAGATTGTTTCTGTTCGAGTATTAGCGTCTAATTTTTTAATAAATAAAATTTTATCGTTTTAATAATGTTTTATATATAACCATGGAGGTGAAACTTATGCTATAAGCGTATAATATAATTCTCAAAATATTTGCTTCAAAACGTTAGATTAAACTATCGTCTTTATTACTTTATTGGGTTTTTAAATACTTGGGAATATTGTAATAATTGTTTATTATAAGGGTTTACTTCTATGAGAAGTTGTAAATGCGATAAAGCCAGCACTTGCAAGTCCTGCACTTGCTCAAAGGTAAAACGCAACTCCTTTATTAAACCCAATATACTCTGCAACCTAACAATACTTTTTCAAAAATATTAGAATCGTGAAGCTTGGCGACCTGCGTGCCACGGAGGCTCACTTTTATCCTGGTTTTTTTATGAGTGTAGTGACACTGCAACTATAAAATTAAAATATATATTTTACGCCACTTAGTCTTAATTTTCTATGGAAGCAAGAGAAATTCGAAACAGTTTGGGTATAGGAGAAATAAAGCGTCTTCTGGTAGGTTACCACTAATATTTGTATGGGTATGGTACTTACACCTTCCTGGTTTATACCACTCCTTCCTTTGTTTTAAGGCTTCTTACAATTTGTCTCCGGTTGGAGATAAAGATGAACTTATCTTTAGACTTGCCACTTATTTGAGACAGCAAAAAAAATTAGATGCCTCGGCGCCGACCTCTAATAAAATTCTAGTTATTGAAAATAGTGAAAAAGCAATAAAGTTAATCTTTTATATTTTTGAGTTTTCTTTTATTAAATTATTTAAAAAGAATTAGTGGAACTGATTTGATACATAAAGTTTTGGAAGTTCAAGATGATTATTGCCTTTTACTGGTAATATTAGCATAAGTTATATACTTTTAACTACTTTTGCTTTAATTAAGAGCCTAAGTGGGATTACTGTGACTGAAGATTCTCCTCTTCCCCAATTAAAGTAGTTATTCATAGCAATAAGGGCCTAAGTAGATTTAAAGGCTGCCTTTCTAAAGAAAAGCGTATTTGTTATTATCCCTTAAAATCCACCCTGACAAAAACATTGGCGTCTCTGAAGCAACTCAAGCCTTTCAAGCTTTGGTCTTTTCTCTGCGCAGTGCATATTATCTTAATTTTTTTAATTTTTTTAATTAAAAAAAGGTTCTCGCTTTTGATGCAGCCTCAAAGCCGCGAGTAGTAGACTCATCTTCCGGTTATATCTTTTGCTGCGAGGAGCAGTCATATCCTGCACTATCCGCTCTACTTATGAAGGTACGAAGAGGAGGAAAACAAGGAAACTTGCCAGATCCAACGTGAACTGCTACAAGACCAAGATCCAGTGTCCTCGGTGCCACTCTCCATGGGGCGGGTCTGATCTCGGCCTGGAGAAGGGTATGGGCCCCTTGCCTTCTCTTCCCCGCTCGGTTGCCCGTTTCTAGTTGTCTGCTAACAAAAAGGCGCCTACAACTTTTTTATGGAAGCCATCAAGCAATACGTTTGCGGTGTTTGCTCATGGTACTACCTTGTACACGCGGCTCCCTTGCAACCATGCGCCATCCACTAACCTCTTTAGCCTCTTCGGTTGCATGACTGCCGAGCACTTTTGCCCGCTATGCAACAAACGCTTCGACTACGATCCAGCGGACTATCATTGCCAAATCATTTGCGGTTGTAGCGAATTTTGATTTCTTGAAGGAAAGAGGGGCAGCGCAGTACGCATAACTTTCCCTTTCTGGCAGGAAACGACTGCAAAGGGACTTTTGGATTTTATTACTTTGATGTGTCTGATAGAAGGTAGTTTTCAAGTGTTACTCTTGTCTTTTTTCAGATATATAAAGGTAACCTGTAAAGATATGAAGAGGTTCGCAGAGAAGCTAAAGTTTTAGCGGAGCAAGCTGCAAAGAATAGAAGCCAGAGGCATTGTCGAGCGCAGCGGTTTAACCAGAGAGCAGAAACTTCTTCCGGTATTTTGATAAGTGTTGTTTTTGTATACTTTTCGTCAAAAGTCACGTTATAGTTGCCGAGGTGCGAACTTCGAGCGCTGAGGAGCTATTATTTAAAAAGGGGCTTATCGAGTACTGTCCTCGTTGCGGCATAGCCGTAGCAGACTTACTACAGGAGGTTGCCGAGAGTCTACCCGATTAAGTTCTTCGAGATCGATTCTCTCTTCAGACTTCGACACGCCCCCAAAAAATTGCTGTAGATGACGTCCCTTCTATTCATTTAAAGAACTGCTCGGATGCAGAGCAGGTAGCGGCTTATCAAAGACGAAGACAGTTTGCAAAGGAAAAGAGGCGTTCCCTTCAAGCTAAAGTTTAGCACACTTATTATCATTAATAAAAAGTAAAAAAGCTTTTTTTCATGTTTTTTTTAAAGGAAATCAGGCAAGAGGACGCTCAAGTGTTCAAAGCGTGGGAGTTGCAGGGCCGTCAAGTTGGTCAGCTGTGGATGCTGAGCGAAAACAGTGCTTTCTATATATTTCAACTTGCAAGACCTATCAGTGTAATTCTGCTTTCTATAAAGCATTACGATCCCAATGCGCTTCCAATGGGGTTTCTGACGTGGACGCAAAGGGTGCGTGCGTCCTGCATACAACTTGTTATTAGCTTTTCCCAACGCGTCTCTCGCGCATAAAGGCAATCCCCTCGGCAAAGTCAACCTAATCACCCGCTTGGCTAGCCATTTTCGCTCAGTGGAAAATAACAGCAATAATAAGGCACCCGCACTCATCTCCTGGCTCTGATCGCTCTAAATATTTCAGTAAAAATACGCAGAAGACCGTGACAGCTTACGACACAAGAGGAATAGCCGAAGCCGGACCAGCGAACTTACCGTCTAACCTAAACACGCTGGAACTTGAAGATTTGAGGGCTGTCTGTGCGAGGTCTGCCTTCTCAGTCGTATCGTAGCATAATTAGGAAGGGATGGTGGCCATTTTAGCTAACTTAGTATTTCAAGCTACCAGATAACTTTTAAAATTGCTGACAGGAAAGCCACGCTTATAAAGAAAATTGAATTGGCTGCTTATAAAAGTATCAGAAGTGATTTTTTTAAAGATAACGCTTCTTGTAACAATGACTCCCAGATGACAAGGAAATGACTCGAATGCTTTTAGAGGATAAAAGAAAAAAGCGCATAAAAAGCTGGGAAGTATGAAGAAAGAAAAATAAGAAAAAGCATTTAAATAAAAATATATTGTTGGAAAACTTCTTTCTTTCTTGCCTTATAACTTATAACCTTTTTACAAATATGGCATCTTTAAAAGTATTATTATGCACTGGTTTAGTAGAAAACCAATAAGATATTAGATTTACAATGAATTGGCTAATAAGAGGGAAGGAATGTATGCATGCAGTCCTGTTAGGGTAAAATATCGAATAACATTTATTAAAGAAAAATTTTCGTAGCTATTATCCATAGCGTACACTTTTTCATATTAAATGCTTATTTTTAACAAACTTTTTAAAAGTGAGTTTTATTAGCGTTAAAAAACTATTCGAGCAATTCCCTTAGAAATTTTACTTAATGGTCATTATTTAGTGAATATTAATATTTAAAAAAGGCTAACTGCGGATAATCTCTTGGTAAAATATAAACTAATTTTTTTTTTTATAAATATATACTTAAGTTTAATAAAACTAGTATTAGAAATTAAATATAAATTATAAAAAAGTTTTACTATATACTACTCTAAGTAGAATTTTCGAGATACTCAGAAAATAATACCTCATAGTTTTATTATTAATATTTATATTTTGCAACAAAATTGTATTAAAATAATATAAAATTAGTTAATACGTATAACAAAAGTTTAGCCATTATGATACGAAAATACACCGAGCTACTAAGCAAGGAGACGGTAAGGGCCCCGCAACCCTCTATTTCAAACATTA